TTTTTTTTTTGTTTTTAAATGCAAGCTATTGTTACACCAGTAAGTGGTGGCACTGGGCACAGTATCCACTGTGAGCCTAACACACCCGCTTTGAGACAACTAACTGCTATTCAATCTATAATAGTGAAAAAAGTTTTTTGGTTTTAAATGCAAGCTATTGTGACACTAGTGAGTGAGTGGTGGCACTGGGCACAGTATCCACTGTGAGCCTGACACACCCGCTTTGAGACAACTAACTGCTATTCAATCTTTAACAGTGAAAAAAGTTTTTTGTTTTTAAATGCAAGCTATTGTGACACCAGTGAGTGAGTGGTGGCACTGGGCTGAGTATCCACTGTGAGCCTGACACACCCGCTTTAAGGACACTGACTGCTATTCAATCATAACAGTGAAAAAGTTTTTGTTTTTTTTTAAATGCAAGCTATTGTGACACCAGATATGAGTGAGTGGTGGCACTGTTTTTACATATCCACTGTGAGCTTACTTACCAGCTTTAAGGACGGGCTGCTATTCAATCTATAACAGTGAAAAGTTTTTGTTTTTAAATGCAAAGCTATTGTGACACCAGTAGGTGGCACTGGGCACCAGTATCCACTGTGAGCTTAACACACCCGCTTTAAGGACACTGACTGCTATTCAATCTATAACAGTGAAAAAAGTTTTTTGTTTTTAAATCCAAGCTATTGTGACACCAGATATAAGTGGTGGCACTGGGCACGTATCCACTGTTAGCGTAACACACCCGCTTTAAGGACACTGACTGCTATTCAATCTTTAACAGTGAAAAAAGTTTTTTGTTTTTAAATGCAAGCTATTATGACACCAGTGAGTGGTGGCACTGGTCACCGTATCCACTGTTAGCGTAACACACCGCTTTAAGGACGCGACTGTTATTCAATCATAACAGTGAAAAAAGTTTTGTTTTTAAATACAAGCTATTGTGACACCAGTGAGTGGTGGCACTGGGCACGTATCCACTGTAGGCTTAACACACCCTCTTTAAGGACACTTGTGCTATTCAATCTATAACAGTGAAAAAAGTTTTTTGTTTTCGTACAGCTATTGTGACACCAGATATAAGTGGTGGCACTGGTCACCGTATCCACTGTTAGCGTAACACACCCGCTTTAAGGACACTGACTGCTATTCAATCTATAACAGTGAAAAAAGTTTTTTGTTTTTAAATGCAAGCTATTATGACACCAGTAAGTGGTGGCACTGGGCACCGTATCCACTGTTAAAGTAACACACCCGCTTTAAGGACACTGGCTGCTATTCAATCTATAACAGTGAAAAAAGTTTTTTTGTTTTTAAATGCAAGCTATTGTGACACCAGTGAGTGGTGGCACTGGGCACCGTATCCACTGTGAGCTTAACACACCCGCTTTAAGGACACTGACTGCTATTCAATCTATAACAGTGAAAAAAGTTTTTTGTTTTTAAATGCAAGCTATTGTGACACCAGTGAGTGGTGGCACTGGGCACCGTATCCACTGTGAGCTTAACACACCCGCTTTAAGGACACTGACTGCTTTTCAATCTATAACAGTGATAAAAGTTTTTTGTTTTTAAATGCAAGCTATTGTGACACCAGATATGAGTGAGTGGTGGCACTGACTGGCAAATGGGCACAGTATCCACTGTGAGCCTGACACACCCGCTTTAAGGACACTGACTGCTATTCAATCTATAACAGTGAAAAAAGTTTTTTGTTTTTAAATGCAAGCTACTGTGACACCAGATATGAGTGGTGGCACTGACTGGGCAAATGGGCACAGTATCCACTGCGAGCCTGACACAGAAGCTGGCAGCAGTGGCAGACAACTAACTGCAATTACATTACACAGAAAAAAAAAAAAAAGCATACCCTAACCCTAACCTAGCTATGCATTTCCCTATCTAATCAACAGCAGCTACACTTTCCCTCCTCTCACTAAGCATGCAGCTTGAGAATGAATGTAAAATGGATGCCTTCCAGTAGGTGGGAGGGTCTGCTAGGGAGGGTGTGCTGCTAATTGGCTGGAATGTGTCTGCTGACTGTGAGGTACAGGGTCAAAGTTTACTCAATGATGACGAATATGGGGCGGATCGAATCGCACATGCGTTCGCCGTCCGCGGCGGACGCGAACACACTATGTTCGCCAGGAACTGTTCGCCGGCGAACCGTTCGGTGCATCACTAGTCCTGTATTGTTATTTGTTGTCACTACCTTCCCGCGTCGGTAGTGGGTCATTTGTGCACCTGCTGCCTTCCTTGCATGTGGTAGCGGTTTGTCAGGGTCCCTGTATGGAATCGAACCTTGATTTCCCGTTACCCATGGTCACCATGGTAAGCGCAGTCAATGGCATCGAAAGTTGATATGGATTGACATAGGAATGCATCGTCGCCTTCTCATTGGGGAGCACATTGAAAAAGTGCTCTAGCATGATCAGCTGGGTGATCTCCTCCGGGAACTTGGCTTGATGGGAGTTGAGCCAGTCCTGGGTGGCCCTTGTGATGCCACGGTGTATACCCAGATATATCAGAGCTGCTGCTTTAGATTTTGATTTATGTTCTTCCAAAGCTAAAAATCAAAGATTCCATCTTGTGCTATTTTATGGCTCAGCTGTATTTTTATTTTTATTTTATTTTAAGTTATTTCCCTATCCACATTTGTTTGCAGGGCACTTGTCCAACTCTTACCCCCATTTTACTTCCTTTTGCAGCTCACTAGCTTTTTCCAGGACTTTTTTAAAGGCATTTTTGTGGCCAGAAGTTTGGGTCCCCATTCACTTCAATGGGGTTCGGGTTCGGGTTCGGGTTCGGGGTCAAGTTCGGGGTCAAGTCTGATCACAAACCCAGACTTTTTTTCAAAGTTCGGCTGAAGCCGCCGGACCCGAACATCCAGGTGTCCGCTTAACTCTACCTTAAATCTAATAAATTATGTTAGATATTGCTCCACTGATTGTATAGTATATAATCTAATCATCTAATTTTTCTATTATTACTTTTGATTCTATCTTCCAAGTCTTGTAATAATTGTTCATTTTTGATCATTGTTCCAGTATGCTGTTATTCTCTTTCTGATCATACACTTGATATTCTTGATGTTCTATTTTTTTCTTCCATCCTTTTTATTTTTCCATCTTGATTCTTGATATCTGTTCTTAATTTATCAAAGTTTGATTTTATTTCTTTTTTTCATTATTTTTTTTCAAAAAGTAGATCCAGTCTCTTTTGGAGGTATTCAGGAGTAATATTGGTTTGCAGATGTTCTGTACTTACTTGCTGTATTTTTACCTCTTCTACATCTCTTTCTTGTATACAAATGCTGTTATCTTCCATCATCAAAATGTCTTTTTCTGATGTTAAGTTTACTGCTGAAAATAAATTTGAAAGCCATTTTCCCATTTTCTGTTCCTGTTTTCTTTTCTTTTTTTTGGAGATGCTTTTTTTTTTTTTGTTCTTTTCTTAGTCGCCATATTTTCCTTTCCTTTTTCTTCTGTTTTCTTTCGACCTCCCTTCACCTTTTCAATCAGAAAAAAAACAACAAACAAACAAACCAAAAATGTCTCAAACAAATAAACAAATCTCTTTTCGCTCTCTTTTTTCCTCTTTTCCTTTTTTTTTGGTTGAACTTTGACTGTTTAGTTCAAATCTTTTATTTGCTTCTGTGTCCTTTTTCTTCTTTTTCCTTCCTTCTGGAGCGTAAAATAGTTTTGTGTCTTCCTTCTATTCTAAGAGAGATTGAAGCGAATAGGAAATGCTAAGGACAGTAATAATAGGGGGTAACCCTCAGAGTTAAATGAAAAACACAGATAAGAAACAGTACTGTCCTGTGGCCAATTGGAAGTTAAAAATTAACTTTTAATATATCCATTAAAAAGGAAGCTAGAGTGATGTATTAGCTCTTAGTGAATAATACAAAATAATTAAACCAAAAAGGAAGGTGGTGGAGCATGGATAATGGAAGGGAAATATATATAAAATAATAATAATAATAACCCAGTAGTTCCTCAAATGTAATAATAGCTATAGACAGTAATAGAGCAGCTAAATATCATGCTGGAATACATGTAGTGACTGCTGAGAGTGAGGATAGAAACACTGTACTCCCTACAAAATATGGTCTTAGAAACAATGAGCCAGTTGCTAAGAGCCTAAAGCTTAAATAGCAATGCAGAGTGGATATAAATGGCTAGATAGGAAGCTAGCTAAGTAACTAACCTTCGCTGGAGCAGAGTAATTACATTTAACCAGTGCTGGCTAACCACAGTTAGCACCAATAACATATAACTGGCTTGCAGTCTAAACGGAAACAGGGTGAGCTTAAGCACCGATAACCAAACAAATAACTAGCTTGTTGTCCAAAATGTAAATAATAGAAAACTGAGAAAACTGCTGGTAACTTGCTAGTGCAGAACCTAACGAGACCTGATGCCTAACACTGGCACTAATGTCTAAACTATGCCTTTGAGTGCACCTGAGTCTAATGAAGGACTGCTTAACTAGGAGAAAGAAAAAGGTAATAAAATAAATAGCCTCCAGTAGTCAGGATAATAGGATAAGTAGATCTTGCTGCTTCTGGTAAGTGCCCTTTTTTTTCTACCACTTATCCTTTAGTTAACAATTTTACTTTGTCATACCATGGAACATGTAGAGTATGTTATTGTCGCCAGTTCTCTATCATCGGTTCAGCCAGGCTGGTATATGTAATTTTTAAAAAGAAACAGCTTCTCAATCAATCTTTAGAGCAGGTATCAGCAATCAGTTAATTTATTGCATCTTATCACCAGTTTGTAACTTATCTCTAATAATGTACTTTTAGTGATTGTTATTGCACTTACTTTATCTTTTTTTTTTTTACTCTTTTTGGAAATGTTTCACTCTTTGTTGTATTTTTTTGTACTTGGTAAGATAAACTCACTCACAGTTTTTTCCGATGTTATTTGACACTCTGTTTCTCTACTGCAGATTTGTATATCGCGTGAAGAAGCAGCAATCTCACCATCATCAGGCACTTATGACTGTTTAGCTATTTTCTTTTCCTTTATTTTGTTCTCTTTTCCAGAAAATTACCCCCACTTTTGTGTTTTGCAGGCTTAAAAATCACAGATGGCTTCTTTCTGGGGCACTTATTTTTCCGGAGTCCTCATAATCAGAAGACCAGATTGCTATAGAGACTCTCTTTCGGTGCTCCTTTATTCTTTACTCTCCTTTCTCCCCACAATACAGTCTCAGTGTGCCGCGTCTCACCCACTCTTATACTCCAGCCTTCACCCATGAGGCTCTGTAGAAGCTACATGCATCCTTATATCATCGCTTCTTTCCTTTCAAGGAACACAATTATTAATCTGTATTCCAAATACTCTCTCGAGTTGTGCACATTTTATTCTGGGTTTGGTGCACTTCCATATAAATTTTATAAGGAGAGTACATAGAGACACAAACAAGGCAGAAGGGAAGGAAACTGGCAATGTTTGAAATACGTAGAGTATCCGTGACAAGATATTCTTTTTTGTTACGGCCACTCTACCTAGCCATGAGAAATGAGGCAATATCCGTTCAGCTAAGTTTTTCTGTATAGTACTTAACAATGAGACAAAGTTAGTTTGATAAAACTTTGACAGGTCAATTGGAAGCGAACCCCCTAGGTATTTAATAGCGTTGTTGTGATATTAAAAAATAAAAATTTGATGGATCGGGTCAGCCCGCACACATGGAGTGCCTATATTGATTATGGAGGATTTGGTGTAATTGATCTTTAGGTTGTATGTCTTAAATTCAGACCTAATATTTGGGAGAGAGACTTAAGGGTTTGTTACAAAGAAGAACATATCATCAGCATATGCCGCAGCTTTGTGGTGATCATTCCTCATCACCACACCCCAGCAATGTCTCATAGAGTGTTGTCCCTAGCCTCTCTGTTGGGGACAAATTCCACTTGATCAGGGGAGATCATGCACAGCAGATGTAGTCCCAGTCTGGCCACCAGTATCTTGGCAAACAAATGCAGGTTGCAGTTTAGCAACAAAATAAGTTGGTAGCTTGTGCACTGCTCAACATCCTTGCCCTCTTTTGGAGTATGACAATGTTAGCTTAAAACGTTTGAGTGAGGATCAAATTTCCATCTGTTATGGAGTCAAATGTCAAAATAAATTGGAGAAACAAGAGTAGTTGCAAAGTTTTTATAGTATTTGAGGGATAGGCCATCCAGGCCATGACTCTTTCTCGTAATTGAGATCTTAACCCCTTAAGGACACAGCTTCAGAAGCTTGTCTTACACTTAATGACACAAGCAATTTTTGCATTTTCTTGCTGTATGCGTTCAACTGCAATTTGCATCTCTCTCGTTTATTGCACCAACACATATTATATACTGTTTATTAAAGGACAGAAAGGGCTTTAATTTGATGATATATATATATATATATATATATATATATATATATATATATATACTTATTTATTATTTAAAAAAATACAGAAAAAGGCAAAAATTGCTTGTGTCAATTTTGCAATAATAATGTGTGCCTAATTAGTGCAGGTTAAAGAAAGTAATTAAAAATAAATTAATTTAGTTGTTCTGATTTACAGAATATATAATGTGTCTGGGATTTTAAGTTTTTTTTTGGTAGTTACAGGTCACAAAGTAAAATAAACTTTTAATGTGGAGCGATTTTAGAATTTGGTATGTTTGTCTTGTAAGCTTAATAGCCATAAAAGAAAACAAAATTGCCACACAAAAGTATATATTTACATAAAATAGGCATCACAGGCTATTGTCCTAAGGTTGTTTTGACACTTTCTATGTAGCCATTTCACCGCCAATCTCTGCTAAATATAGGAGTAAAATTTTGTTTGTTTGGGGTTTTTGGCACACAAACTTATAACAAAGAACTTCTCATGTGTATTTTGTAAAGTTGATGTGTGCTATTCCTGTACAAAGTTTTATTTTGTGTTCAGTTACTTCTGCTGAGTACAACGATACCCCCATTTTATGTCTTTGGCACTATTTCGTGAAGCTACAGTTCCAATATGAGACATGTCCGTTTCAACATTTACAGTAGAATTTTGAGAGGCAGATTTAATGGGCCTATGCTTCAATTTGGGGTATTATAGCAGTTTGACTGTACAAGAAAACCCCACAAAGGCCTACCATTTGTAAAAGTACACACTCCAGGATATCTCATATGGTGCATTTTGTGCCTTAACATGCCCCCATTTTTTCACCAATATATGCCAAAGTATGTAGTAAAAATAAATTTTGGGCATTTTTTACATACGGATTACATTTTTGCTGGGCATTTTGTACATTTCATATGTGCCACTAAGTTCAAACCCCCCAAATTATGCTCAGCTAAGTCTTCTGAGTAAACCAATATGCCCAATGTATGACCTAGACACTATTTTGTGAAGTTACACTGCTGTAAAAGAGATGTGACAAGTTAAGGTTTTTAAGTGTGAATTTTCATGGAGGGTTTTGATGCGTCCGTGCCCCACTTTGGAGCACTTGAGCAGGCTACATATTACAACTACACCATAAAGGCATACCATTTCTTAAAGAACACACCCCAGGGTATTTTAAAAGGCATATTTTGAACCTCAGCGTGGGAGTACAACAATACTCCCGTACATGGACGTATTAGCCGTGAGGCAAAAAAGGCATTTGCCTTGGGCGGTATTTTCCAGGGGGCAGCAAAAAGAGCCACCCCCCAAATGCCCAGGGCAAATGCCTCGTTAGCCTTGCAGCTAACAGACATGCCAGGCGGGCGGGCGTGCGGGTGTGCGGCTGGTGAGGAAGCACTTACTCTGAGCTGTCTGCTCAGCTCCCTCGCGCGCCGCAGAGTGATGCCAGGAGCCGGAATATGAAGTCCGGCCATACCATTTCTTAAAGAAGACATCCCATGGTATTTCAAAAGGCCTATTTTGAACCTCAGCATGGGATCATTTTTCCGCTAGCTTGTACCAAGTGTAGTGGTAATAAGCATTTTTTCTACCTTTTTGACACACAAAGTGAGTTTGCGCCGTATATTTTGCAAACTGTATGTGTACTACAACTGTATACTACTTCATATGTTGCTCAGCTATGTCGGCTGAGTACAGCAATACTCCCGTATGTACCATTGCCAGGTATATGTGGACATTGAAGGGGCACATTTGAGACACAGCCATTCCAGTTTTTTTTCAAACTTTGAATTTTTACGCTGTGTCCATGTCCCATTTTAGAGTATTTTACAAGGCTATATAATCCAATTACCCCATAAAGGCATACCATTTCTTAAAGAAGACATCCCAGGGCAATTCAGAAGGCATATTTTGAACCTTAGCTTGGGATCATTTTTCCGCTAGCTTGTACCAAGTGTAGTGGTATTGAGTATTTTTTTAATGTATTTTTTTTACTTTGTAAAACTTTTTTTACTTTGTAAAACCCATTTTTAAACTTTTTTTTTTTTTACTTATTAACTTCTTAACTTTTTTTACACTTTTAAATTTTTTTCTAAACTGTTCGTTTACCGTTAACCCCTAACTAGCAATTAGCAGCACTAACAGTCCCCTTTCCCAAAACTCCCACCCACTCCAGCTAGCAAAATATATATAATAATAAAATATTTAAATTAATTAATTAAATAAATTGAAGCCCTGAGGGTTAAAAAATAAATAAAAGTTAATCCTCAGGGGTTAAAAGAAATTAGATTGCAGTATAATACTGTGATCTGTATTTTGATCACTGTAGGCAGTGATCAGCTGACAGGGAAGGGGTTAATTTTTATTTAGACTGGGTAAAGAGGGTTTTTTTTTTTTTTACTTAAACGTTACTAAAACATTTTTTTAAAACTTTTTTGCCTTTTTAAAGCTTATTTTAAAACTTTTTTTAACGTTAACCCCTAGTTAGCCTAACACCAAATTCCCCAATTCCCCATTAATGTCCACCCATCCCAGCTAGCTAAATTTATAATTTTTAAATATTTAAATTAATTAATAAAATATATTTAACCCCTGAGGGTTAAAAAAATAATAATTAACCCTCAGGGGTTAAAAAAAACAAAACAGATGACATTAAAATGTACACCCTGCCAACTGATCACTGTAGTCAGTGATCAATTGGCAGGGAAGGGGTTAATTTTATTAAAGCAGGGGAAAGGGGGGGTGGGATTTAACTTTATTTTTATTTTTTTACACAGGGAGAAGAGGATCAGCTCTTATCCATCTCCCTGCAGTTCACACAGAACCCGGAAGTGCAGGGAGGCGGAAGGTAAGTACACTGAGCACATGTGCTCGCTCTGAGCACAGAGCGAGCACCGGTGCTGGGGCAGCAATCACGGCAATCTGGGGTTAACTTTAGTAAATGACGGAAATTTTTCATCAACGGTCCTTAACTGAAGGACAAGGTTGACGGAAAATTTCCGTCTGCGGTCGGGAAGGGGTTAATCGCAATGGGTAGTTCATTCTCTATTAGAGGTGCTCAAGGACCTCTTCAGCTTCCACAGGGATCTTGGTCTGTGTTTATTTAAAGAGGTAGGAATGGTTGCGTGTGGTATGTGACTGAGACCCTGCAGAGGATGAGCATGTGGGCAATGCGTTCAAGTCCAAATAATATCCAGGAGGTGTCATAGATGGCTAGCAGCTTGCCACATTTATCGCTTTATGTAGAGAAGAATGATTTGGTTTGCTGAATAGTGATGTCCCGAACGGTTCGCTGGCAAATAGATCCTGGCGAACATCGCTTGTTCGCGTTCGCCACGGATGGCGAACATATGCGCTGTTCGGTCCGCCCCCTATTCGTCATCATTGAGTAAACTTTGACCCTGTACCTCACAGTCAGCAGACACATTCCAGCAAATCAGCAGCAGACCCTACCTACCTCCTGGACAGCATCCATTTTACATTAATTGTGAAGCTGCATTCTTAGTGAGAGGAGGGACAGTGTAGCTGCTGCTGATTTGATAGGGAAATTGAT